GGGCCACGGGCAGCCAGGGAGGAGGCCACACTAGCCACACGGGGGAACTCGTTGATCATGCGGATCTCGTCATCCTCCGCAGCCTCTGCTGAGCCTCGGCCACTTGAATGTGAAGGGTCCAGGGAGCCACCCCGGGGGTAAGGACCTCCAGCTCCAGGCCCACTGTAGCTAGGGAGAGTCTGGTGATACAGGTGCTCTGAGGGCAGTGGGCTGGGTGGCTCTCGGCCCAGTTTCTGCAGGGAGCCACTGGCCAGAGGTGCTGCCTGGGACATTGGGCCAGGTGCCGCCTCCATCTTTCGGCTACGGGCCCGCACCAGACCTAGGACCAGGGCCGCCAGTGCTAGCACCACCACTACTCCCAGGGAGGCTGCCACAGCCCCCACCAATAGCAGGTTGAGGTCAGGTGCCAGGCCCAGTGCAGTGTGGGTGATATCCACAGTCACGGGCACTGTGGCACTCCGAGAACCAGGCAGAGGCCCCCGTGCCACCACCTCCAGCCTCAGCTCCCGAGGTGCCTCACGCCGGGTCCGGCCCCCACCCCCAGAGGGGCTTGTTCCACTGCCTGGTGCCCGGCTGTCCACCCGCAGGTACAAGGCACCTGTAGTCTGGTTGATACCAAAGTAGGGGGAAGAGGTGGCAAGGGAATAGAGCACCAGACCATCAGCACCTCCATCCTCATCTGTGGCCTGTACATGACCCAGGCTGTGGCCACGCCTGGCACCTTCTGGCACTTGGAAGTGGAAAGCTGGAGCCAGGAATACTGGGTCATACTCATCCTCGCCTGTTACCAGCACTGATACAGTAACCGAAGCTGAGAGATTCCCAGCATCAGCAGCACCCACCAGCAGCTGGAAGCTTCCTGTGTGCTCATAGTCGAAGGCCACTCGTGCCCGCAACTCCCCTGTTGAGCTGTTCAGTGCAAATACCTCCCGTCCCTCAGGCCCTGGCCCAGCCTCCAATAGGCTGTAGCGGAGCCTCCCAAAAGCCCCAGCATCCCCATCAATCGCATGCAGAGTGGTCACAAGAGTGCCTGGAGGCTGGTTCTCTGCCAGGCTGGTGCTGAGCAAGCTCAGTGGGAAAGCAGGGCCATAGTCATTCACATCCTGGACCTCAATGGTCACTGGTGCCAGAGCAAAGTGTGCCCCCGCAGGGTCAGCAGCTTGAACTACAAGCTGATGTTGAGCCTGGGTCTCACAGTCCAAGGGGCGGGCCAGTCGCAAGGCACCTGAGCTCTCTTCCAGCTCAAAGAGCCCGGAAGGGTCACCTGAGCTGAGGGTGAAACTCACGAGGCCATGAGGGCCCAGGTCAGCATCAGAGGCCTCCACATACAGGAGCTCAGCTCCAACAGGTGTGTCCTCAGGCACTGCCACATGGTAAGACGTTCGGGTAAAGACAGGTGGGTTGTCGTTGACATCCAGTACGGTGACAGTGACAGGCACGGCTGTGCTGCGAGGTGGCTGTCCCCGGTCAGCTGCAGCCACAGTTAAATTGTACTGGGTTAGGCTTTCAAAGTCTAGAGGCTCAAGCAGCACCAGGCAGCCCAGTACACGGGGGCCTAGTCCACCACTCTCCCCAGCTTCAGCAAGCCGGGGTTCCAGCTGGAAGACTCGGCCCCGGTTGCCACTGATGATACTGTAGTCCACAGTGGCGTGGGTGCGGCTTCCGTCAGCATCTGTGGCCTCCAGGGTGAGCAGGGTGGAACCAGGAGGCAGATCCTCAGTCACAGCCACACGGTAGTGTGGCAATGTGAAGCTCGGGGTGTGGTCGTTCTGGTCCTGCAGCTGCACATGCACCGTGGCTTGTGCTGCCCGGCCTGGAATCCCATGATCTCTTGCTTCCAGCACCACGTCCACCACTCCTGGCCCTTCGTGACCCAAGGCCACTGTTCCCACTGTTGTAAACAAGGTCCCTGAGATGAGAAGGGAATAGAGAGAAACATGCATTCAGCAGAGGCTGTGGGTGAACAGAGGAAGTGCCCCTTCAGAGCCTAGGAAATGGCTTCACAAGTCAGATTCCAGAGAATGGCCTGTGTGTATTTGGAGATTATGGGATGGTCTCCAGGATTCAGGGAACAGCTTTGACTTGTGCAGCCAGAACAAGGCTTAAAATAGAAAAAAAGGGGGAAAATGCACTCCCTGGGTCTGAGATCCAGGAGTTAGGTTTGGGCAAGAAATTCTAGGAATGAGGTCAGGATATGGCCCAACACAGTTAAAGATAAAGGGTCAATTCTTAGGAAGGACGCACCGTTGTTGGGATCAACTCTGAAGCCCTCAGCAGGGGAAGCCAGGTGGTAGGAGATATGACCATTGGCACCCGAGTCCCGGTCAGTGGCAGAGACGGAGAGAATGGCACTGCCTGGGGGCGTGTGCTCCAGTAGCATCACCTGAGGTGTGAGGACAAATGTTTATGGCCATGCAGCCCTGCTGCCCACTCAGCCTGTGTTTTGGAGCTTGGTCTCATGAGCCCCACTTAACATCCATTCCAGCTTGGACCCATACTCCTTAGTATTTGAATTGCCCACCTTCCTCCATTTATGGGCACAGGACGAAGAACCTGGACAGTTCCCAGGACTTGCAAGGCTGATTTAGTTGGGATCTCCCATCTCCAGGGTGCTATCCCCAGGTCAGTTCTAAGGTCCAGCCCACCTCAGACTTCCAGCCTCCTCATTTCTCTCCAACATGAACAAACCTGGGCCCAGATGTGAGGACATCTTGGGGTGCCGGTACCTGGTAGAGGCTCTGTGAGAAGGCAGGTGCATTGTCATTGATGTCTTCCACGAGTACCGTGAGGTTGGCATGGCCCTCATGAGGCCCATCATGAGCCAGCAGCTGCAGGTGGTAGCGGTCACGCTGCTCAAAGTCCAGGGGGCCTGTGAGGGAGACACGGCCTCCATAGCGGCCTACGCTGAAAGGATCCTGGGGCCCAGACGAGCTCAGCGCATACCACAGTACCGGTCCAGAATCCACGTCATTCCCTGTGACCTGTGCAATCTCTGAGCCCAATAGTGCATCTGCAATACACAGGACAAACGTGTCTGGCATGGTCCCAGACACCTCTGGAGCCCCAAAGTGGGGAACGATGCTGCCCTACTACCCTTTGTACCTCTCACTTTACCCAGCCCTCACCTTCGGACACTCGGAGCTCCCAGGGCTGGGGGATGGTGGGGCGATTGTCATTGGTGTCGATGACC